CAGACACATGCTACACACTGGTCGGACAAGCTGGCCAATCAATTCCAATGCCCGCAATTTGTCCGGCATTGTCATAAATTGCACTAGTGCCTGGGCCCTAGGCTCTGCCCCACAGAAGCTTCTCGCTGCGGGGCGTCCGTGCCTCGCCTCGCCACTCCACGCCCCACCTGGGCTCTGCCACCTGTCAATTATTTTAACAAGACAAAACGCATCAATGGACTGTATGGGGGTCGGCCGGTGGCAGGCTCAGACGGATTTGGCGAGTGGCGGAGTAAATTTATGCAATGGGCCAGGCATTTTGCTTTATCTACATGAAGTGTACGGATCTATCTCTCCCTACATACACGTGCAAATACATATTTGATATAAATATATATTGATATATTGTGCACCGAAAAAAGGCATCAAGTGAAGAAGGAAAAGAACAGAGCCCGGCAAATCCCCTTTGCGTTGAAATGGCTTAATGTCACTTTGTTTCATGCGGTCTTGTCACGTCTATTCTTTTTTTTTTGCTTGTTGCTCGCCGGTGCTCGGTGCTCAGTGTTCCATTGTTGGAACTCGCCAACACTCGGGCACGTTGTCCATCAGTCAAATGTATATCGATTTCTCCCTCGTAGTCTCGTTGTCTCTTTGTCTGTGGGTGCCTGTCCCTTGCTCTCTGCTCCCGCCTCGCACATTGTCCTGCTGGCATTAGTTTTTGCCAATCAACACGCCCCAAATAGCTTGTCAATTATTTGCCAATTTCGAATCCCGAAACCGGGTGACAATGGGATTTGCTTCGTTTCATTTAATATTTCTGATGTCTCTCCGCAGAGCAAAAAGGAAGTTGCGTCGGGCTGCGTGTCGGGAGAGCAGCGGAGCTGGCTCGCAGCTGTTATAAATAAAGATTTTCGACAGCCATTTAATTTATTCAAAATAGTCATTTCCGTGAGCTTTGTACACCCCGAACCCATTTCAATTAAAATACCAAACTTATTTATATATCTGTGTATGTATCTGTATGTACAGCTGCAGAGGGCGATGCGATGAAATGTGTTCCGTTGTAATCGTCGTCATGGGGATCACCATCAACTGCCTATCAATGGCAGGCAGCGTGTCATGAAAATTGAAAATTAGCAGCAGTAAGCCTGAACCCTGAACTCAGCCCCAGCTCCTGGCACTGGAGCTCCATCACAACCACCCCACACTAATTGCTATACCCCTGCCATACGCAATTGTCCTGCCGGTTGGACGGGGAAAGGATTGACATTTTGTGTTGTTTCTTTTTCGGGAGGAAGTGGGGAAAGAGCTACACAATCAGTGGAGAGCTGATTTATTGAGTTGTTGGGGTTGCCTGGCTTTGTTCAATGGGTCGCACGGTCTACGAGGCAAGAGGGTCCGGTCTAAAATTTTGACCATTGGCGGCCTGGTTAGGCAGGCCCAGAATATACTGGAGAAGGTTCGCTGTTTAGGAACGAATATTGGTCTTAAATAGTCATCACTTTGATGTGAGAGTGGAAAGAGCGCACAGTTTTTATGCTGGAAAGTATACAGATTGCCCAGAGTTAAGATATAAACTCGGCCATTGAGATGGTTTAAGATACTTTAATTCATCCCAATTCCTACTAGACATAGAGACTGGAGACCAACTTCCTTTTTGACCATCTCCATTACTGCGATGCTTTGAAATATTTGTCCATCTAAATCTATCGTACAACAAATCAAAACACCTTAAACTCCTAATCGACTAGGGTAAACAAAAGGGGGAGACCGCAAGACCACAATGACAGGACACAGCTTCAATTCTTTTTCCCCATTTCTCTCTCTCATTCTCAATCTTTCTCTCTCCCCATCAACAAGGAAATAATTGAAAAAATAACTCCAGCTCAGTAGCAACTCTGGTCTGCCGTTAAAAAATATATACCATAGCCTTCACACACATTACAGCAGTGCCTGTAAAATGCGCAAGGACAGCCGAAAAAGGACTTGCCGAAGGACCCACAACGGTCATGGATAGCAGTTGGTCGTTGGTCACTTTTGCTCGCTGAGAAATTGACATTTAAACATGAAATTCCAGCAAAAGTCGATGCAATGACAATGGCCAGGGCACTTTTGGGAGCCTCCGTCTCAGGCAGCTGCCTCTCCAGCACTCTTCTCGAACTTGTTGTCCTGGCAATCCCTGCACGACTGCAATCTCAGCATTGCCAGCATTTCGGGCAAACTTTATATGCATTCTGTTGAAAAAGAAATTGAAAATATACGAGGATATCCCAATGCCAAAGAGATGTATGTGTGTTTGAGGTATTTCCCATATGACTGTCTATCTAGCTGTCCGGAGCTCTAGCTCTCTCGTCCTCTCCTTGGCCTGTCTGTGTGCACTTATCGATTGCTCATACGCGGCCAAAGTGTTTGAAAAGAAAAACGGGCAAACATCGGGGAGAACTTGAATCAAATATCCTAAAAAATAAAGCCGAAAATCACACATTTTTACAAAACTGAGACGGAGCATCAGGGAGAGAGAACCCATTAACACTAATCGCTTCCCCACAGACACATAAACAATTTATCTGACACACACAAAAACATATCCAACACACACACACATAAGCACCATCGTCCTCACACATATGTGTGGAGTCCTTTCTGTAAGTTGGCCGCAAGATCGAAGCCAGACTTTGGGTTTTTCCTTTCGGTATTTTGCTTACGCTGCCGAAAATTTATCACGCTAACCTTTGGGAAATGCTCATATAATTTATCTTAGGAAAAGTAAATTTAAAAAAAAAATCCACTGAAAATTTAACAAAAACTCCCCTTACAGCATCCACAACAGTTTTGAGAGCGAGAGGGAGCGACTGGCAAGTCCTGTAAAAGTTTCCCAGCAGGAGGCTGCTGCTGCGGCTGCTTTTCGCACAAATATACTCAGGGGTGCCAGCAGGTGAATAGCAGGGATGTCTTCTACCGACTCTATGTGTGAGTTACGAAGGTAAAAAATTGCCCACAGTTTAAAAACAAGACTTGTGTGTGTGGATGTTTGTCGGTTTGCCTAACCTTTCCGACTGAGGAGCCCCATTTCGCCCTCATTTCTCCCACCGCCCAAAACATTGAGTGGGTAAAAAATTAGGTTAATTTTGGGTGTGCAATGGATTGATGGGGCTCCATCCAAAAGCACTTGGCAAATAATTAATAAACATTTTACGTGAAATCCGTTGAGGGGATGGCAAAGGGGCGAAAGGATGCCTGAGGCCGTGTGGAATGATTCTGAAATATATTAGCTCGAGTATCGATTGAGGGAAAACCCACAAAGAAATAGTTTCAACTAAAGGTTAGGTTAGGTTATAAATTTAATGAAATATGAAATGTTATTGCCAAATCAGGTATTATATAATTGTTGAATATTAAGAAATTATTTAAAAGAAAAGCTTGTGCAGACCTACTCTCTAATCTTAATGATTAACCAGCTGACAGAAAAATATGTGGTAACTTCTCCTACTTTACTCTGTAGGCAGCCCAGACAGTTTTCTAACTCTATAGAACAGAACCTCATTTAATATGCTTTCATTGCCAACTTGTTCGCTTTTCCCAGTTTCCAGTTCCCAGTTCCCAGTTACCCAATTCTCTAGTTCTCTGTTTTTTTCAAACATTTCTTCACCGCTCACCACATTGTCGTCGCTTCATTAAGAAAGTTTTTCTTTATAGTTTTTCTAACATAAATGCTGAAAACTTAATTTCTTCTAAGTGAACTTGTTAAGTTTTACTCCCTTTCCCACTCCCAGCTTTTCTCGCTTTCTCCACTTCTTTTTGTTATGACTGCAACGGAGGGTGTTGCAACTGGGTGGCTCGCGTGGGTGCTTTGCGTGGGTGGTTGAGTGGGTAAGTCTAAGGTTCCGTTTGCCCGTGGCTGTCCCTGACACTTTGGTCACTTTTTTATTTGTGCCGCGACCAGCTTTAAGAGCATTAAAATGGAATTCTTTTGGTGTTGAGAGGACAATGTCTCTGCCTTGGCTTGTACAAAAATCGTGGAAATATAATTACACTCTCCCACAAAAGTTGATCTCAATTTAATTTGAGGGAAATTAAACTTTTATTCCTTTTGCAATCGCTTAAAATTCTAAGAAAATTTGTCTCTCTTGTTTCAGGTTGTTGAATCGAGCCGACGATGGATTAACGTGTGGGAAGAACATTAATTTTTGGTGTAATTTGTTTTTGATTGAACGTAGATAATGGGGTTGAAAGAAAAAAAGGGACGAAGTCTTCTTCGTTTCATAATTAGGAAAGAGAAAAAGTTTATAAATATATGTTTGAATTGAATTCAAATACTTTGAGAATTCCCGAACAATATAAAATGCCAGAGTTCTTGTTAACCTGTTTTAACCCGTGTTTAAGTACAACATTTTTATGGATTTCGCCCACATTGTCGCAACATCCACATCCAATAAAAAAACATAAAAAAAAGAGGACATTGAAAACATTGTAAAAACTGTTGCTTTGGTAAGTCAATATGCTTGTACATGGGAAACACTTCTCCCATCCAAAGTGCCATAATTAAGTAGTTAAACATGGGTGAGGTTTAATGAAATGCCAAACATTTTTGCTGACTTGGGTTCAGACATTGAAAAGTGCATCAAATTTCAATTAAATCAGACACACATCAACACTTCATAAACATGAATTGAGTTCGGGGCCAAAGAGCAAAAGGCCAAACCCGAACCAGACCAGACCAGATCCTGACGGAGCAGAACAGACAGACTATCAAAGTGGAGCCAGGTTGGCAAGCGATGCACATTCAGTCAAGTTAAATGAACCGCATCTATTGACTATCTCTCTCTTCCTCACATGCCTTCCGTCTCTTTCTCATACTCATACTCTCTCTGTCTTTCTCCTGGTGCCTGTGTGCTGTGAAAGGCAATGCCGAGAATCAAACGACGCTGGCAGTTGGCGATGGCAAATTTTGCTTTTGAAGGCAACATAAATTTTTCAAACGATTGACTCAGCAAAATGACCATGAATGTGTGACATCAGCAATGGCTAGGTGTGGGCTCCACGTCCTGCCCGACGACGACAACCACCAGCAGCAGCACCACCACCATCGTCATTATCATCATGGCGCAGCATTCTGGGGCACTTTGTCCCCTTTCGATGGAGCAGCAAATATCCAGAGGTAAACACGTGCATTGCCTGCTTCCGTTATCAGTCAGCTTGTTTGCCAGACAGCCGGCCAGGCCCAAACGGCGTTTCCATTGGACACGCCCCCCCGGGGTCCGGGCCCAGCCTCCGGTCGTCTGTATTTGTCTGCTTATTGACGCTTTGAAGTCTGTTGAATTCGTACAATTTTCTCGCCCCGAACTAAGTAGCCCCATGGACAGGGAGCGCCTCTACAGCTGCCTCCTATGTTTGTTCGTGTGTTGAAAATTAACTTTGAAAGATTTCCGCTAGCATCAAATTGCTTGACATTGCATTTGCGGTTCAATGGGTTTGTCTTCCCCCACCCAGCACTCCCTCTGCAAGGCCGAGTCCAACGTAAAGGTGTTTTGATATGTTAAATGCAGTCTGATGTGACCTGAGATGGAGATGGGCACACAGTGCGTATGATTGATTTGATTTGACAAGCATTGGGCAAAGCCTTGTCAGTCTGACGATGGGTAATATTTCTCGGGTTTGAGAAAACAATGTATTAATCAAATATATTGCTGTTTAGCTAGAAGGTGCGGGTTAAGGGTAATCAAATTGATAGTTGTTTTACGAGTGGGTCAGGGTTTTATTTAGAATAAATCTAAATCACTATGTATCACTATGGGATGTTGATGCCGTCCAACAATGTGTATTCCTTATAAGGTCTTAGATGTTTCCTTGTTAAAATCATTAAATGCTCAGCATGGATTCCCTCGGACAATGCTGTAGAAGGTGGGGAAAATATTTTGTTTAACACATGTGAGAATCACATTCAATTTGAATTCCCTAAAAAATGATTTTAATGTTTATTTTAAATGCCCAATTAATTTCACAAACAAAAGCATCAGCAAACCACGAAAATAATAAATATAATGCAGAGCATAGTGGTTTCTGTTCCGCCAGAGGTTAAATAAATTTAACAAAACAAAGCGAAATAAAATTTGAAAAATTAAAATGAATCTGACCAACTTGCCCCAAGGTTAGGCCCGCGGCGTCAACGCGGTGGCAACTAATAAAACGTGCGCTAAATATTTATGAATTTCCATTTTATGACACCTTCGGTGCTCCGCAGCTGCGACAACACACTGGCCCCAAAATAAGTAAACGAAACTGGACAACTCCGTTCTATAATTTAAGCTGGGGACAATTCACACAAAAAATAAAAAATATAAAAAAAATTAACATAAACCGTAAAATGTTTCCGGAAAAAGAAGAGACCAAAAAAAAAAGAAAATCACGTTTTGCAATTACACAAGAGAGAATAAACAGTGACAGAAGGAGAAAAGAGGGAGACAGGGCGAGAGAGACATAAAGCAATGTCATCCTTGATGCTACGAAGAACTTGGTGTCCTTTTCCGCCGTGAACTGTGAGAGGAAAACAGCAGCTAGAGGCATCCCAAGGAACTTGTTTATTTGGGCAACCAAAACACAGCACAAAACCGAAATGAAAATGCAACAAAATAATTAAAAATCGTGTGCAGAGGCTCATTTTCCAGCATGGGAGATATGTACAGCTTGGTTCACAGCGACTTGTCCCCAGTCCGAAATTGCTTATGAATTGTAAACAAAGCTAGCTCCCTGTTGGGAATGCTTCCCAGTCTGACAATCTCCCCTCGCGGACAGTCCGGTTTGTCTGTTTGTGCTACGTGTGAATTATAGCATACTTTCTGGCGCGTGTTGAAAATTAATTTTAAATGTCTGATAAAACAGGAAAGTGGACAGCAAAGCCGAGGGAAACAAGAGTATCAAACTTTATTCAATATTTGTGCAAGCAATTTATCTGTTTGATTAAATACTATATAACTGATACCAAATATGTATAAGTTTCACTATTCACTCATCATTTATAAGATAAAAATCGTTTTTGGCTAGAGAATTGGGCTGGCGGAAATCTCTCCTAAAACTAAACCAGTGGAATATTTCGAATCTTTCATTTAAGTCCACTTGCCAACTGTACGGCACGGAAGAAAAAACTTTTTCGAAACAAATCCTTTTATGGCTACGCACAACAACAAAAACAACACCGAGAATAAGAGATGGAAGAAACATCTGCAAACAAATTTTGGGATCCCAAACGTAAGCCCCACAAAACAAGTCACGTTTTGAGGCACAAAGCACACACATACAAATACACAAACACACGCTACACTCACACAGACCGGAATTCAGAGTTGCAGGCCTGTTCGCATAATTGTATTGCATAATTTTAGCACGCGCTCGCTTTTCTTTTCCTCTATTTTCGGGAAAAAACTAAGCACAACCCATAAATACGCCTAGAAATATGGTGCAATATTTTTTGTAGCCAGCCACAGACAATTCGCACTACTTTTCTCATTATAAATTGGATTTCGCAGTCACATTTTGCTTATTACTTTCAAAATCTATGTAAATTTCTTTATATATAGTACAGCTTCACCGCCTCTGCATCTAGTCCGCCCCTCACCAATCGAAACGCAGTATACCGCCTCGACTGGCATTTTTTCCAGCACACTTTTGTGCGCCTCCTCGTGCTGCACGTACTGCAGTTTGCTGGATAGGATGCAGGGCGGCATGTTGGAGGAGGAAGCATTTTGTTTGCATCTTATTATTATTGCCCGCAGAGCTGCAGATACCAACATACAAACGAACAAACATATATAGAGAGACGGCGGTGGCTGCCAAGTTTATTGTGAAAATATAATTCAGTTTACTCTTCCCTTTGGCCTCTTTTTGTGTCTCTCTGTCTGCGTCTCTCTACCACCCCTGAAAATTAGCTGTGTGCAGCGTGATAATGCAATTTCTGTACGTTTCTCTGGCTTACAAAGTACCCAGCAAGAACTTTATTGTCTGCAAATGTGCAGATTATATAATCATGCTTGAGTCTCCGCTATGATAAAAATACGTAATGCTACAAATAATTTTATAATTTTTCCAACCTGTTGCGTGGTTTTTCCAACACTGTTTCTATTCGTATTCTGCACTGCTGAATTTCTGAGTAATACATAAGTATATGTACGTAAACAGAGGCATGTATGTATATGGTGACGGTAAATTTATTATTAATTCTGATGAAGAGAAAAATCTATCCCCTTACCAATTTTTCCATGACAACAAAAATTAGATCAATCAGAAACTATGTACAACATTGCATATTTTACTTCATACAAATTGATAGAAAGCACTGACAGCCTTGACGTGGTTTACCTGGGCCACGACTGGGGTCAGACATTGGGGAATTCAAAACTTTTGTTACAGAATACAAAAAATGTTCCACAAAATCCAATTGCAATTCTCAACCGTTCGATGCTGTTCCACGCACGCATGCAAACAAATGGGAAAACCAAAAGTTTTAGTTTTTCATTTAAAACATTTTATGCACAGATTGGTCTGGGAGGGGGGAATTGTTGTTATTTTGCGAAAGCAATTTGGTCTCGGCATAGATTCCATTCCTCCATTTGTGAAGTTTGCTACTATTGTTTCTATCCCTGGGCTCAGAGGAGTATCTGTTGTGCATTGTACAACGTTTGTTGACATAAATGTTATTACCTATGTGGGAATGCGGCAAATTGCATACATTTCTTTCGGTGTCTTGCTGCAAAGAAAATCTTTAGGGAGTTGGTTTTTTCTACAGTAATTCACTGATGAGTTTAAAAGAATTGAATATGTACATTTTTCTTAATTGTGTAGTTAGCATTTGGTTTTCAGTAATTGCTGCTGATGAAAAAGTTTTTGTCAGATAAGAAAAAACAAACCGTAAGAACCTGGAATTTTCCTGTTTAATTATAATAAATCAAAAATTTGGCAATCAAGTTATATTAGGTCACCGAAATGGATTTGCCACATATCACCTCGTTTTAAATATTTTTTCCTATTCCAGTACCGTCAAAATACTCCAAAATGTATGTAACTAGAGGGATGATAACCTCCTGAAAGTGCAACTCAGTAATAACTCAGTTTTTGTGTTACGCGAAGACCTAATCATAAATTTCAATGGCAGACAAAACTGGGAAAACTACATTACCTAAAGCGATTTAATCAGATTGAACTCATCTCCGCTCATCTCCAAGTTGCCAGCAGTAGTAGGTCTGTGCTAAATAATGCACTGAAACACTCTGAGCATCAAATTGTACATTAAGGAGGATGGGGAGCATAAAAATTAATTAGCCCAAAAAGCTAGTTCGTATAACTTGGGGCGTTTGTCGCGATCCCCCTTCTGGGATAGCTGGCTGGCTAATTGTGGACTTGTGCGGGTCGTTTCATTGATTTATGACTGCTAATTTCAACGCATGACGTTCCAAGTATTAAATAATAAACTCTAACCCGCCAAACGCCTCTCGATCCTGCTGGCTCTGATGCTGTTATGGCTGCCTTTGCTGCTCCACCCCTATCATCATCATCCGGAGCAGCAGGACCAGGAGCAACATCAAGCCTCATGCTGGGCTGCAATGTCGGACGAGGCGCCATGGAACATGAGCTCGTCCCTACACTGGGTCCCCGTCCCCCACTCCCATGGCCCGACTTTACAAGTGTTTCCTTCTGTTTTATGGACCACCACGGCTCGGGCTGGCCGCCTCCCCCTCTCTGAGTTTGTAATGAAATTAAAGGCGTAATGTAATACAGATGGCAAAGTTTGCTCAGCGGTTATTTCCATGGCTGCTTGTTCCTCCTTGCTTTTTCGACGCCACTGGCCCAACCTCTCAGTAGCCATCATCGCTCTTCTGGACAGGAATTAAAGTTAATGAATATCTTTTTATTTATTTGAACATATTTTTAGTGGCCCTTTTTGTTTCGTTGTAGTATTTATTGTTATATTGTAAAACGATGTGTTTAAGCAAGAGCAGAGAGACAGAAAGACAGATGTAGCAGAATAAGGGGTATGGAAACAGATAACATATTCTGAAATTCTAATCAAATAGGTCATTAGGTGGAAAGAGGATAAACAAAGTGCAAGAATTAATATTAGAACATGACTAGCGGACATAGTTACTGTATTTTCTCTATATTTTCTCT